AGGGTCAGCGATTGGGTCCCCGGGGTCAGTGGTCAGGCACACCCCCACACGGATGGGCTCTCTCATCAGGAGAGGGACGGGAAAAACTTCGACATGTGCCAAAGTGCCTCAGACCCTCAACGGGAGGCACCCGATCACGTGTGAGAATGGCTCCCAACAATAATGGAGAAATATCATATGCTGCTAATATTGTCTGCTTTGCAATGTAGAGTTGATGTAATCCTAAAATGACAGTTGGGCTAAAGTAAGGCTTTTAAGATGTACAGTTGTCGCCTGAATAAATGAAAGAGCGCTCTAGATGAATTCACTAATGCTATTTCTGTAACCCATTGAATGCCAAATATTTCTACTGTATTCTATCCAAAACTAGCTGATAAGGAATTGAGAATTGAAACTAATTGCTTAAGGGTACTATTGGCAAGTCCAGGAAAAAAAATATTTTCCTCCTCTCTTGTCCAAAGCACAAGAAAAGTAAGAGGCTTTGCACCATTCTGTCCTTAGCTCCAGCTCAAAGCCGTCAGTCAGGAATGTTGATGCAGCAAAACAATTATCCATTATTTACTTCATGTCCTGCTCACAATTCCAGATGTAGACATCTGCCTTCCTCCATCCTGTTTCCCCAGAGACCACAAGATCTAAACTGGAAATTGGCAGAATTCCTTTTTATTTGCTTTTCATTTCTCTCTGTGTGTGTGTGTGTGTGCGCGCGTGCGTGCGCACACACACCCGCACATACTTTACTGGCAATTGAATCTAGGGCTTTGCACATGCTAGGCAAGTGCTCTACCACTGGGCTACATCCCCAGTCCTTTCTATTAATTTGAGACAGGGTTGTACTAAGTTGCTGAGGCTGACCTTGAACTTGCAGTCCTTCTGCCTCAGCCTCCCAAGTAGCTGGGATTATAGGTGTGTGCCACCATACCTGGCCAGACTTCTTTTTAAAGTTTTCCCTTTTTCTTTGTAATAGGTGTTCTGTCGGAAGCTCTGAGACGATGTAAATACTCCATTCCTCATTAACTTTTTTGTTTAATCATTTATTTTGTATCAGGATGGATTCAGAGTCCTGTTTTTTCAGAGTCAGGTACCATCATCATTTACTTTGATGCTCAAATTGTCCCACATTTGACTAGTGGGAGCCCCTTCAAGATGGCTTCTTATCCTTCTGACCCGTCTGCAACATCCTTTGAGCAGTTCCTTACTGATGGCCATTACATTTGCCAGGCTCCTATTTTCTGTTTTCTCTGACCCAACTGGCATAAGCTAGTTCTCCAAGGAGCCCTGGCTACATTTAGAGTAGATCTTGGTCCTGTATGTGCTTATTGTTCTCAGGGTGTCGCTACTTCCAGACACAGGATACAGAGCTGAGGAGTATTGTGGGTGATATATATATGTACACACATCTATTTTTATATATCTGTATACATTGAAACCTATATTTGTTCTAATATCATTAATTCTGGTTCACCACTGTAGTGTTCATTCTGTTTTTCCTCTTTCCCAGTCTGTAACTCCTTTCTCTAGCAGAGAGAACCCCAGTTCTCTTATCCTCAGTGTATTTGCTTAATTGGTTTCCCTCCCACCCTCACCCCTAGGTATACCTCTACTCACATATCCCTCTCTCTGGCCCCATGCCCACCTCCAGGCCACAGCTGCTGATAGCTTCCTTGTGACCCCTTTTGGAATGACACCCAGCACCAACTTGTCCTCCACAGACACCCCCTAGTCTGCTAGGCTGTGATGCTTGGAACTTCTCTACCCCTACTCAGATGCCTGTCTCATGTGTATGAATGTCTGGTGACCTAAGAACAAATGTTATAGCTTCCAGCAAATGGAAACACAAAAGTTCAGCTTTCTTAGGGACACACACACAAGCCTCTCACTAGCAATAACTTGGTTTTAAGCAAGTTTGCCTTCAAGCCACTGACAGCACTCGCTGCTAGTGCTTCAGCATTCTGCATGATGGCCTGCAGACAGTGGTCCTGTACGTGCATGAGCCCTGTCTCCCAAATCCTCCTTCCCAGAAACAGCTCTCCTTGTAGGTGTCCAGGGAACACCAAAAAGTTCTCCTTGTGAGAGAACTTCAAATATAGTTAAGAGGACCAAATGCTGGCCACAGTCTCTGCCGAAACCTTGGGGCCAGGTGCCTTGCAGAATTCAGAAGTGTTGGACTTGAGGTTGACAATCACATTGTTGTTCCTTCTGAGGACTGAGGCAGGGTCTGAATTCAAACAGTGGTGTTTGGCATGAGAACAGGAACACTCTCGCATGTTGGTACAGATCAGGCTTTCCCTCCATATGAACTTAGGTGCCACTTTGTGTGGGGCTGAATACCAGAGGCCCCGTTAAGAGCTATCAACTACTCTGCAGACTGCTTTGTCTTCCTGTGCTGTGACTGCCCCCTGTACTGATCCCAAGCGTACATCCAGGTTTCAGTTGGGTCAGTTCTGTGTTCATCGTGTCTTGCTATGAACCCTTGCTATGCTGTGGGAGCCAAGTAAGCTCCTTGCAGAGAAGTGTAAATAGTTCATAACAGGGAACACCCTGTTACTTCCTGACTGCTGGTGCTGGCCTTGTTAGTGGTTGGCAGGCACAAGCAACCTATCTCGCTTCCCTTCCTCATCAGCTAGTCAGATCTATTGCAGCTGCAAGCTTGTAGGTTCAGCCTCCTGATGGAGATCTCATGTGCTCATAGGGCCTTCTTCCTGTCCCAGTAGTTACGCTTTGGGCCAGCATGTGACTTCTGATACTCAGATCCCTTTCTTATTGGCTGTATCCATTTTCTTTAGGACTTTTCTAAGAGTGGATTCCCTGGAGCTGGGGAGTTATTTTCCAGATGTCCTTTTCTGGCCCCCAGTCTAATGACTCATAATTCAAGACTCTGATATAATCTGCCAAGTAGCTCAGGGGATTTGTAGACTGGAGCAGTGGTCCCTCCAGGCAGCAGTTACGCCACCCCATCCAGGAAGGTGGATGTGTCAGATGGTGGTGACAGCAGTCTTGCAAATAAGGTAAAAGGCTTCAAGTTATTTGCTTTAAGTGGGAGGCTGTGTAGCATGTATATCTCAGTAAAGGTGTTATCAGCTTAAGGACTAATGGTGTTAATAGAGGCCCTCTCTAGGATTTGTTTTTGCCTTAAGGCCATAGTACACACTAATTGTACTGGGAACTACTTTGTTGTATCCCACCATGTTTTGGAGCTGGGATTTTACCACTGCTACATCCCCAACCCCCTCTTTTTTTTTTTTTTTTTTTTTTTTTGTTTTGAGACAGTGTCTTACTAAGTTGCCAAGGCGTCCCTCAAACTTGTGATTCTTTACCTCAGCCCTCCCAGTCACTGGGATTATAGGCGTGCACCACTGCACCCAGCTGGAACTACTTTGTTCTTGTAAAGTAACATTTTCTGGCAGCACACACCATGTCCCTGATCTATCATCATGTGCTTGGCACACAGTGGATACCAGTGAATTTATCAGAAAATACTCAGCAGTCCATTCTAGAACATCATTCACATCAGGTTCTTGGACAGTTTCCTTAGGAGTTGTGAGGGTATCAGCTGACCTGAAGACCTTTAATTCACAGACTGGAGATTGGAAGGACAGGGTTACTGTGTCTGCTGCTGGCCTCTCACTCTCTCCACCCCAAAAGACTCAGCTAAATAAAGGCCACACCTTGCAGTGACTATAGCCCAGTTTGTGAAGCTTCTAGACTTTTTCTCATGGCTCTCATTAGTTTTCTTTCTTTCTTTTTTCGTGGTACTGGGGATGAACCGTGGAGTGCTCTACCACTGGGCTACATCCCCAGCCCATTTCATTTTTAATTTTGACATAGGGTCTCACTAAATTGCTCAGACTGGCCTTGAACTTGTGATCCTCATTCTGCCTCAGCCTCCCAAGTTGCTGGGATTAAAGATGTGTGCCACTGCGTTCAGCAGTGCTGCTTTTCTTTGCTGTGGCTCTTAAAAGTTTGCAAATCCCCCGTGGAAAGGATGGACTCATTTTTCCAGTTATTTGACCCGGCTGTGTTTTCTATTACTACACCTTGATGTCTTTTCCTTTTCCCTTGATGCTGACACAAGCAAGGAAAACAGCCCAGGAAAACCAGCCTAAAAAACTGCACATCATTTTTACTCTGTCAGCAGTTCATGTGGTAGTTTATACTTGATTTTAGCCAAAAGACCAAGAAGTGATCATGTAGTTTATTACAGAATTGCAGACCTTTAATTATCAAACATGTAAGAATATTGAGAT